ATTTTTAGGTCGTGTGAGATTATTTATTGTGCATTCTTTTGTACGTGGTTGAAAGATGAAAAATGTAGCCTTTTTGTTGTTTTCTTAATAAAATGGTACAAAAATACAAAGGGTAATTGGCACAAAACGTCCCTACCTTTCATGTTTATTGCGGAAAATGTTCCTATCTTTCATTTTTGCCCCTATTTCCACATTTCTTGCCGCTAAACGTCATTTTCACCAATTTTGGACAAGTTTACCCTCCATTCAAATAAAACAAAAAAAAAAATAAAGAAAGGAAACAACAAATAACTAATTGCAACCACAACCCCAAATTTTTAAAAAATTACAAATGTCATTTAGTTTCTGTTCCTTCTTCTTCAAGTGTGTGAGGAACACCATTTGACTCCAAAATTTGGCAAACGAGTGCTGTAATTTCTAAAATATAACGATTATCTAGTGTTTTTAGGGTTTGAATTTGAGTTTCCCAAGGTTGATTCATATGTTGGGACACATTAGACTTACGAAGTGATGGAGAACTATCCTCTTCGCGCAGTCGCACATTCCGTGAGGGCAAATCCAAAATTGTTGTATTTGGATGACGAATTGAAGCAATTAAATCCATATCCAGTGTCGTTTGACCTTCAACTGCATGCTGATTGATGCAATTTGTAGATTGAAATTGTGGAGGGATGCCAATTGAAAGGGGATCGATCGTGAGTTCCCTGACTCGAAAACTGGCTGTAGATCTCGATTTTCTGGATTGTTTGCTGTAATTGGAATATTTATAGATGCGTCTTGGTGAGTTTGAGCAACTTGGGTTGTATGGAACATGGGCATCCATGGATTTGGTCGAATTTGCAATAATACCGTGCGTGAGAGACAATTTGTGGGCAAAATTTAGCTTGATTTTGCTAGGATTTGAGGTTGAAAATTGCGTGGGGATGTTAAGGCTGATAAGAAGATGGTGGTGGTATTAAAATCCGGTGGCCTTAGTGCCAGCAATTGGGTTATATGGTTGTTGGCACCTATGTTGAAAATTTTGTATATATTTGTGACTGATTTGTAATTTTTTAAAAATTGGGGGCTGTGGTTGTAATTAGTTATTTGTTGTTCCCTTTCTTTTCGTTTTATTTTATTTGAATGGAGGATAAAATTGTCCAAAATTGGTGAAAATGACGTTCAGTGCCAAGAAATGTGGAAATAGGGACAAAAATGCTAAAAAATGAAAGACAAAGACGTTTTCCACAATAGACATGAAAGGTAGCAACGTTTTGTGCCAATTATCCAAAATAAAACTATATAAATTTTTATTTGTTTCTTTCATCACCTAATTTGATGGTCGAATGTTACGTCCCAATCATATTCTTAAAATTCATTCGAAGTTATTATTTCATGGCATTTATAAATTGAAACAACAAGAATCATACCAAGTTTTTCGACATAGATATCAATCACACTTTTGTACAATTGGTAACAAATATTTTTTTGTTACGACAACAAAGTGTATATGATTTTTTCAATCCTAAATATATTAGAAATTAAACCTTGACTTCTTCCATAGAAGTAATGAAAGAAATTGAATGTTTAATATCATCACCAATATGAAGACTGTGCTCACCCAATGGAATTCTTCGAATTCCATTGTTATCCGCCATGCTTAAATGCTTGCACGCATCAATATCAATCCTAACTCTCTTTTGACTTTTGGCTACTATATGAACTTTCTCAAATGCAACCAATTGTTTCTCCGGCGCATGTTTTCCAACCGGCAGAGTTGCAAAAATCATCAATGTGTGAGTTCCGTCCATGTCTCCAATATTTTCGACATCTATATGTATACTCGAAATGAGTGAGTCACACTTGGTGTGTGTGACCCTTACACCATGGCTTAGCATGGTAGTATTTTTGAATGTTTTTAAGGTTGTAAGAGGAATCGAAATTGTGGTGGGGGCATGGGCCAGAGTGGGCCTGAAGCTAGTGTAACTCAACCCATACCCAAATGGGAATACAACTGGGCCTTTGTAAAATCTGTAGGTCCTGCCCGGATAGCCTCTTGCTGGATCTGCCCTCATGTCCATTCTTGTCATTGGCACCTTAGATAAGTAATTTTGTGGATACCATGTGTTAGGTAACTTTCCTCCTAAAATGTAACATACACGGAAGAGCATTAGTCATAATTCATTTTCACGAAATAAAACTAATTTAGTACATAATATCAATTTTCGAGAGGCATGCGATGAATATGTACCTGGATTAGTAGTTCCAAATAGAACATCAGCAATGGCAGTTCCTCCGGCTTGACCAGGGTAGCCAACCCACATTATGGCTCCAATTTTTGGATCATTCTTGGCAAATGTGACATCAATTGGGCCACCAGACATTATGACTAATACAACTGGGCCTCTAGAAGCCTTGGCAACCCTAGATACAAGCTCCTGTTGATGTCCTGGCAAAAGTAGACCTACTCGATCTCTAGCTTCGGCTTCAATTGATTGATCCAACCCCATCACCAAGATGGTTGCATCCGCCTGGCGCGCAGCTCCCTCGGCCTTCCCAAATTGTCGGTTATTGTTGCAAGCTACGCCAAAGCATCCTTCTTGATGAATTGTTTTGACATATCTTGCTATACCTTGTACTGGCGTTGTGTAACCACATGCAACTCCTGAATTAGTTAGAAGTAAATGTCTCGTCAATAATGTGATTAAGAAAAGAAAAAATAGATATAATCCAGAGAAAGAGACATTGTACCAGCATAGTTGCCTCTCATGGTGACAGTAACATCGGAATTGGGTCCGATGACTGCAACAATTCGATGCCTTCTAGTCGATAGTGGTAGAGATCGCCCACGATTTTGAAGTAGAACTATGCCTTGTCGAGCCGCTTCAAGGGCAAGTTGTTGATGGGCTGGGGTACAAACATCCCTCGGGCCTAAATAACCGTAAGGTTGTCTTGAGCCATCGAACATACCCAAACGCATTTGGACCATCAGCAAATTGGACAAGGCGGCATTTACATCGGCCTCGGTGAGTTTACCGGACCGTACAGCTGCATTGGTGTAGATTGCAAGATAAGGCCCACAATCTAAATCCAAGCCTGTTGACCAGAAAAAGTCCAAATTCAAGCCCATGTAGTATGGATTGATACACTTTTTATACGAAAAATAGCATGTTAAGAAAATTGATAAAAAAAAATATTGAAATTTTTAATCGAATTAAATAAAATGAAATATGATAAAAATACCTGCTTTGATGCTGGCAGCAACTGCATCTTCTGGTGTGTCCGTATAACGTTGATGTTTGAACAAAACTTCCACCGAGTCACAATCAGAAACAATGTATCTATTTGAAAAACCCACAAAAAATTTTAAAAAATTAGTAGTTATTACAATCAATTAACTATTCGAGCAAAATCTAAGCATAATTATTCGACGTGAACTGGGTATAAAATGTCGACTAACCCGTTAAGGTGCCATTGACCACGAATTGTGCCACGGAGTAGACTAGGGTCGGCACAAGTGGGCTTCCCATTGACTTCATTGTACGAGCACATTACACTAGCTACTCTCCCTTCCATCACACAAGCCTTGAAGGGCACATTGTATGTGTCCTCTAAGTCCTGTTTGCTTACCTGCAAATCAATTATAAGTAGTGAAAATTAATTTCCTTTCGATTAAGATTTGTAGCAAAAAGTAATAGGACCACCATGGTCAAAGCAGCAATAATTAAGAAATTAATTTAAGACCAACTTAATTAATTTCTTTAAACAACTTTCAATTATGGTCATAACATAGCTCTTCCGTGCAAGTAATTTCCACCTTTTAATTTCAAGTCTTCTACGAACTTTTATCTCTACTTCTCAAAAAGTGAAGTAAATAAATAAGTTTTGAATAGATATTGTCTTTTATTAATCAGATTGAAAATACACGTTATTTATTTTAATAATAATATAAAAATTATTTTCAAAGTAAGCAATTTTTTTTTATTTAAAAGTAATTAAAGTTGCTATCTAGATGATGACAAAAGTAACATTGTCACCTTTCTAATATCTTGGTCATACACGCTCTAGTTATTAATACTAAATTCACTAACTAATATTTTTGTTCAAAAATAAATAATTTTTTATTCTTCAAAGTTAAAATTTGAAAAATTACTTATTTTGAATCTAACTCATATAACTTAATTACTATAAATAAGTAACATCGTCCGTCCTCATAATT